TGTTATGGATAGTATCAAATGTTTTTCAACTGAGTCACTTTAAGATACAAGTTTTTGCCATAAATTTCAACCACAAATTGCATATATAATAAACTTTAATAAGTTCATTATCACCACAATTACATTTCAAGGAGTTTGATGACGTCGAAGCTTGCACAAGCTTTTCTGGAAATTGCTGCAAACATCGGTGATTCGTACATTGAAGGTATTTAAATGATAACAACACATTTAAACACATTTACTTCCCACATATTCTACGTTATCTTCCTTCATTACCTATAATGCGAAAACATTTGTGTGTCGCTGATTACTTGCACTTTCATTTTAAAATATTGACTAACTTTAAAATACATGTAACGACGTAAAAAAACTGTGATCAAGTGAAAAATATCATTGCCGTTAATAAAATACATTTTTTTTAATTATTAAAGTCACGAATAAGAAATATATCAAATAATTAAATTCTCCACAAAATAAGAAATATATTAAATTCTAAAAATATATATATATATACAAAATTTATATGAGTTCAAGGAAACAAATTTAAGCAATATACTGCGTTTTAGAAACTCGTCCTGAATATATTCATTCGATTAAATTTAAAACACTTATTTATACACTCTGGATTTTATTCTACATAAAACAAAAAACGTTTGTTTATGATTTATGGTTATGTTATTTGTTTACATTGTTAATAAACGTTTGTTTGTTATTGGATGATGGCTAATTAAATTAATTAAATTCTTTTACATCGCTCTTTGAAGATATAATTAAGACATAAATCCGAAGTATTCCTATATCGCGGTGCTGCGTTACGAGAGAGAATAAAATTGATAGCGGAAAGTCGCTGCCGATGGGGAGAAAGGTCGATTAAATTCGCATTACGTTCACCCCTCGCGGAGAAACGTAGAGCGTACAAAGTGGCTAGAGCGAGTTCCTCGGGCATTCGAGGGTGCTATTGCTCCCTTTCTCGGTAGTCCCTAACCCACGACGACGAGCGGCTTGTTCTCTTAGCCGCTAATTAGCACGGAACACGCACGCCCCACGACGACCCGTGTCGGGCACGTGGCGTGCCGGAAACTCGCTTTGCGCGACAAACAGACCGTTTCCCATCGTGCATGCGCTCCTTCCGGCCGTTTCCACGAGAAAACGTGGCCGAAGCAGCTGATTAAATCGCCATTAAAATATGTCCTTATCGCTCCCGATCGACGCTTCCTTTCATGTCCCGCTTTCGCCACGGGACGATCGCTTAAGAAAAACGGTCGGGTCCGCAATTTACACCGAGAGTGAGGGGGGGGGGGGAGGGTTGGATCAGATCACGCGTTATTCGATACACGCGGGGATTCAATTTACGGCTTAATGTGTGAGCCAAAATGTTTTCGATTAATTGCTTTTTCATCGAAATAATTATCTTATTGGGACATCCATATTTAAAATTACGGCAAACGTGGTGTTTGTTTTTTCGATTAATTGCTTTTTCACCGAAATAATTATCTTACTGGAACATTTATATTTATATTTATGACAACAACAAACGTTCGTATTTGAACATTTTATGTAAAAAAAAAAGATTAATACAATAGTTTTACTTTTGATTTTTATATATACCTTCCTAGAAGAGTAAGAAATCTTTTAAGGAATTTTTTAAAATCATCACTTTATGAACTAAAATACTCTGTCACACACGTACGCGATTTGAAACGTTAAAATGTATCCTAAGATTTCTTATTTTCCTCTAGTAATTCTAGTAACGCTAGAACGGCAAATGTACAGCTAGAACACAAAACGCACATAAAGCAAAACAGAATACGCTGCACTTTTATGAATAATTTAAAGAGCTAGGTAATCATTTTAACAACAAATCCACGTATCTCCATAAAAAAGTCATCGTTAGGATGCGGCGAGTAGTTATTTTCTTCTCTCGAGAAATTACCGATAATAGGCCGCAGTGAGTTGTGGAAAAATCATGCTACGATTGTGTGGTCATTCGTTAGGTATCTCGGTGGTGCGAGGATATATACGATCATTTTCGATGTACGATACGCAAATACGTTTCCCATCTGCAGATTATCTCTTTGTACGTAGCAACAAATCGCCTCTTGGAAGCTACCTTCAATATCGCGAATGATTCATCAAATATTAATCTTGGATCATTTTGTAAATTTACATCGAGTTCGAGGAACAAATATCAAATTTCATTTCATGATACATTCTCTTTTTACTTTATTCCATATCACGAAACCCATAATATGTCTTATACATATTTAACATTCTTATATTCGCCACTAAAATTTTTTAAAACGCGCATCGAAACAAAATATATATTATTATTATTAAATGATTATAATTAATTGAGTAATTTTTATAAACAGAGAATATTTTAAAAATATACGTAGAAAAAAATATTTAGAATTTTTACTTTATAAATTAAGAGAACTGTTCTCTCGAAATATCGTAATTTTACAATCGTCATCACTTCCAGCACATTTTGCCATATGCAACAGATTAATTTTTACTTCGGGCGAAAGAAAGAAAAATAACCGTCTGAAAGAGAATGTGCGTGACGAGACACGATTTCCATATGAAAGAGCCTGATGATCTGCCGATATATTTATTGCGGGTAATGTGCGTGTTCGCGTTTGGGTCTCCCGCGACACACAAACCTCAAATGAATCAAATCCGGAGCTAATCTGATTGCATGCCAATCCATTTTTTTTTTCTGGCTTTTATTGTAAAAGAGGATAATTATCCTATCCACCACTATCGAATGAAACGGCGAAGAGCGATTTTGATGACAGCCATTTTGCTATAAGCTAGATTTTAGCAAGTGATTTACTTTTTATCATTTATCGTAGCGTTCCTATATCACAAATTAAATGGCAATGCTGAAGTTTAACTACGCGACGTGCTGATAGTTTCTCTTCGCGAGGTATATAAATAAATTAACGAACAGAAAAAGATATCAATTCAACTTCGGAATAAGTATCATCTTTTTTATTACGAAGAACATTTCTGAAAAGATTGAAGATTCCGTTTAGGATCTCTCGTCGGATATGGAAGGAACATGTCGAAAGATAGATTTATACATTGTCTCTCCTTTATTTCCCCCTTCTATCTAAAGTACGCGATGCCGCGATATCGATTCCTGGTATCGCGTATATGCCTTCTACGTGATTCTTTCATATGCGAAAAGGGTCAGTCGTAGAGACGTGGGTGCGACATTCGTGGAGACACCCTATTGAGGATGCGTCGCGGGTCGCACACATTTTAAACGCGTGTGCATTGTTATAAAGGTGTGGTCGCGAGTCCGCTGTCCCTCCGTTTTTCGTCGCGCTTCATCGAACAGATGCGCGTTGCAATCTCATTTACGCGATAACGTACATCAAGCAAATGTAACTTTTTGCGAGTGTCTCTGCAAATAGCACACGAGCTGTATTACGCCTAATGGATCGAGTAGTACGAGTATTAACAATGTTTTAAAATATCTTAATTAATTTGTAGCGCGCAAAAAAATTCTTTCACGAAGCCTTTTAATTTGTTGAGATATTTATACGATCGTTTTGTATCAATAATTGCGTCATAATATACGTATTATTGATTTATAAGAAATCGTCATATCTCTCACAAATATATTAACGAATTCAATCCATCAAAGTTCAGTCGACGCTATTCCATGGAATTACTTTTTCAATTACTTTTTTTAGCGCTGTTTTTTTTTTATTAATCCGTCTTAAAATGTCGTTTCCGAGAGACTAACACAAAGCCCTTGTGGAGATTAATAATTTCACTTAAATACGCTTTGTATTGAAAATCGGGATATCATCACATTTTCAGCAAACCTCATTTGTTATTCACAAAAACTAAGGAAGAATAGAGGTACTTTCGGTTTTTTTTTTTTTTTTTTTCGTTCCATGACCTGCGCGACTTATGTCCGAACATATTTCGCTGATCACAGGACACCAATGTTCTGAATAATGTACAAAATAGTCTACCACGGTGGCAACAAGGCAGCCTTCATAAATAATTCGAAAACCACCCGCCGAGGACGCCGATCGCGCGTCTTTTGTTCCAAGTAACGCGCAAAATATTATGCATCTTTTTAGATTCATAATAAAGTATGAAAGAATAATGATATTATTCTACAACTCAAGATAAAAATGACATCATGATTTCAAACATTGAGCACATCTGATAACATACAATTGCAATAATATCAAAATTATTATTTCGTTTTCAAGTATTTGTTTAAGAGATTAATATGTTAGCGAAGAGTATCTACGATAAAATACGTAATACGTTAGATCAATTAATTATTATATTTCAGTGATTTAATAGTAAAGAGAAAAAGTCATCGCGGTGTCCTGCTATTGAAACTATTTTTAACTGTTCGCTTTGCGTCTTCCGTTTGGATGTAAAGACTAAAGACAGAAGCTCGTTACCAGCAATTGTAGTTATCGATCGGCGGTATGCAAGAGCAACATTTGGTCGAAGACCGCGGAGAAAGAAGTTTAAGGGAGAACATGCGACAAGCTGTAATTCCGAGGACAAAACTTGGACTTGTACGAGTATAGTCGCAACGTAAAAATTAGATGTACAAAGTAGAGGCTTGTTACTGACGATCGCAATTATCGATGCTCACGCAATACCCTCGTATGCCGAAACTTTGTCATATGGTCCCCCGCTTTGTCCGGTTAACGTATTATAATCTCTCTTTGGAAGTTTGAAGCTGACGAGACAAAAAGATCAATGCAGTACGTTTCTGAGACTCTATATATTATCAAGCGACATTAGTGGGACATTAGTGAAAGTTATGTACATACATTTTCATAAATTTATCTGTGCAAGAAGCGAGAAATGCATTCTCATAAATAAAATTTTTTTAAGTATCGATATATAAGTAAATTTTTAATTTGTTGCGCAATTAATTCGTTGAGAATCATTTACCCGATTTCGTTAATACATTAAAAATCATGTGGTAGATTGAATCGATGAGAACTCACCAGTATGGATGTAGGTATGTTTCTTCATATCCGACTTCTGATGAAACCTCTTGCCACAATATTGACAGGGATAAGGCCTCGTGTCGGAATGGATCAGCAGGTGAGTACTAAGCGTGCTTGACCGTTTGAAAGCCTTACCGCACTGCTTACACTATTGTAACAAACAAAGCAATTGATTTACCTTAGAGCTATGTCTATTTATTTAACGTTATTTATCATCCCTAATGCGAATACTGTGTACATACGATACATTCCTTGGAATTTGATTATTTTTTTTTTATGTTTCTAATTAAAACAGAAAGAATTTACTTTTTAATCCTATAATAATGATTACAAAAATAATAACTAATATTATCTCGATATTTATTTGCATCAGACAGTCGAAAATCTAATCTTACTGATTTTTCATATCTAATAATGCCAAATCACTTCCATCTTGCAGTTAATAGCAATTTCCTTTTTCTGATAAATCGCCATCGTCCAACTGTTAAACCGTTAAGTAGCTAATTTATCAATTTCTCCTGGACAGCTCGTGTTTCCGCACGCGATATTGATTGCACCTCTCTCAAGAATATTCTTTTGTGATTCTATACGCTTCCCGACTTTATAAAAATCTGTATTCCGTAATATATGTAATATATATTATATCACATATCAATATTTATTCAGAATTTATTAGTGAGATTACTTCGCGATTACCTATACAGCAGAAGATTGAAGCAATATTGCTGCAATGTTACAATATTACAGATTGCAATGTAACATTGCAGAGGTAGGTCATAGAAATATAAATTAATAATATACCTGCAAAATGTCAGTAATATGCTTGTAATATTCCACAAACATTGCAAAACTGTAATTCTTTAATTGTTACAATAATAATAATATAAAAATATAAGTCTTTACAATATTTATGTAGTACAGTCTTTTAGTTTAACAGACGTTTTTATGATATAATAATTAATATAATTTATTTTATATTTAAATAAAAAATTTATTGATTTATTATTTGACGGTCATTTCATTAGCTAAGTTTTATTTTAAATATGAAATCAAAAGATTGTATAATATCGAGTTTGGATACAATCAATGCATCATTATCGGATAAGCAATTAAACTGTTGAAAACGATTTATCGAAATATTATTATGTGATCGATGATATATTTATGCCTGATGTGAACGCAAGAATAAATCAGCGCCCGAAACTTGATTGATAAAGTCATTTTTTTAATTGATTTCAACTCGGAACGATTTCGAATTAAAATGTAGATGAAGACATAGATATATATATATATATATATATATATATATATATATATATATATATATATAATATAAAAACAGTTTTCATTTTAGAGAGTAAAAAATGTATCCAAATACATTACATTGCAATATTGCTGGAACGTTTTATAACAAAAAGCAATATAACAAAAAGCGGACATCTCAACATTGTTGGAATTTTGCAACAATGATTCAGCAACGTTTCACAACCACCATGCAATATCGCAATGTTTCAGTGAAATCATTCAGCAATATTTCTACAATCCTTCTGTGTTATATGGATATGATAACTCCTTGAATTTATTGCAATTTATCTATTTATCTATTGAACATATCTGAAGATGCATTGTATCATGATAACAGTAATAAATTAGTTCGACGGAGGTCCCCTTATTTCCTTAAATTTTCGTTCCCAAAACTTATATCTCTTTAAATACTCATGCCAATTATTATTATCTTCAAACGTATTGTATGCACTTTCTGTGTGACTTGCTAACGCCATAAAGTCTCTTGATTTTCAACCGCAGACGTAAGAAAAGGAATAAGGCAGACGAGGAGGGAGATGGAAGACGCACCGCTCCTAGGCGCCGGGACGCCAGGCACACCTGTGTTCGAACGAAGCGTCGCGCGCGTACTTCTTTCCTTTTCTCTCTTTCTCTCTCACTCTTCTAGTTCATTGTCACACGGGCGCCAGTCGTCACAATGCCCCGACGGTGTGGTTCGATGCGTGTCCAGGCTGACAATTTATACGGGGTATGAATATGCCAACCGCGGAATATTATTGCGCGCACGCATGATTCATGTCGCGCCGCGATCAATATATTGTATTATATATTGTATTATAGGGAAGAGCGACCTGTCTTCGCGCGCGACGTTCGACTTCTTTGCGACGATATCTTCGCCATGAATAAATCTTAATCCTCATCGTTTAACAGGATCCGAAAGGTAGGACCGGCAAAAATCGGTAGATGAATGATTGCATGGCTGAAATTGCGATCGTTATTACAATATTGTTCATTCTTGCCGAGGAGGACTCCAAAGACAGTCGTCACGAAATGTTCAAAATAAAGAAAACATCAATACAATATCTGATTATTGATTGTTCACTAAATAATTACGCTGTTTACCGTTGCTGACTCTCATTAGCCTACTTTTATCTTTTTGTATTGTTTAAAATTCGAGAGTCCTAATATAATTATTATTACGATATTATTCTTACTTTCCTAAGAGATTATCACGACGCAACGACGTTTGAAGTGCATATTTAAAAATTGAAAATCTATTATATATATGAAAGACGCACGCAAAGGAAAAGAAACATCTTCATCATTAAATACTGCTCAAGATTAGCTTGGAGTATAACTATTTTAATACGTAAATATGTACCACTGTATATTTACATACAATAAAATTTATATTTATGTCATACATTCAAGATTTTAAACGCAACGATGTCATCTGTTTTTTTATCTTTCATGATGAGAAAGCTATTCCGGTCAACGGTTCTTATAAAACGTTAAAGGATAAAGAAGAATAGAGCAATATATTCACAACCCTAGTATTTAACTGTAATTAAAGCAAGATGGTCACGTTAGTGTACCGATCTTAACAATGGACTCTCACGCACAACAATTGTCACCCTTAATTGCTCTTGTTGTCCACCTGGCAAGATGGGAGCTCTCGGAGCGGTCAACGATGGGACACCGTCATCCCGTTTACGGATATACGAAGGAAAGGAAAGGAAAGCGGTGCCATGTAGTGGGAGGGTTTTCATTAATAAGCACCACCGGAACGCCTGTGTCGAGAGATCGCGAAGGAAAGGAAGGATTGTGGGAAGTAAGGTGGATGGGGCGAGGCAGTCTCGCTATTGTCACCGCACGAAAGCGTCTGCTTCCGGTATGGTTCGGAAACAAAGCCAAGAGAGAGAGAGAGAGAGAGTCAGAGCCTGCCGGCCACGTCTTTGCTCTTCGACCGCCTTCCAGTTTCTGCACTCCTCGCGATTCGCGGCTCCTCGAAATCGCGTAATTACCGTTAATCTCTTGCAACGCTCTTTGTGCCCAGCCCGGAACATCTGTCGCTCGTCAACGAAGGCGCGAATTAAATAAAAAGGACTGTGGCTTTCCCACGGATGTTTTACTTAAATATCTTCGTGGATCATCTCAACCGATTGACGCGATAGCTAGGTTTTGCATTGCTTAAGCGACTTTTTAAGAATTAAGCTTAAAAAATCATTGATTCATCGATGTTGAAAAATTATTGATTCCACGAATCATTTGATTAGAAAATCCTAAACATGTTTTGAAACTCGTGTTCCTAATTTTAGAAATCTATCAAAAAGATGTAATCTAAAATTTATTCTACCTAAAACAGATATTGATTAACAATAAATTTCAAAATTATGATGTTGTACTAAATAATATTCACAACACTTATATTTTGTTATAAAGAAATTTTAATTCGAAAAGGCTTCGTCAATACTGAAACAGATACTAAAAACAAAATCTTTATGAAAATAATGAAATTTAATAAATTAGTAATATAGCATAGAATATAGATAAAAAAATTTAATTTGAACTCTTCCTGCTAGCACCGATGTAACTATAATAGATACACATTTATAAGTGAAAAAATATAGTCTTAAAATATTTGAGAATTCGGCTATTTTAACTTTTTATAGTCCTTCTGAGTCAAAATGACAAAGCATCATCTTTCACGCTAGATTTCAAAACTTTCTTGGCATCAGAAGAACGCGTTCCTACCATCGATTAGAGGTTTGACGCTTCAAGTATCGATAGAGATGCTTACCTTCTTAAGTTAGTATGCGTCTAGTAGCCAAAAAGCGTTTTTTCTCGGGTCAAAGTGTCTATAAGTAATAAGTAATAATAACGAACGCTCATTTTCGTTAAAAAATTTATGATTTATATTTTTACATTAAATTATAAAAATAAGAAAGCTGTGGATTGTGCCCTTCAAATAAAGATTTAAAAAACGATGAGGAAAGAATGAATGAATGAGATTGCAGTAACGAAGAGTAACGTTTTCTATGTATTTTTTGTATTTTATATTTTTTACTTATGTTTGCCTTCAGTATTAATAATAATAATAATAATTTTGATATTAATAAACTTAAATCAATAATAAATAGCTTTTTACCCAAATTTAATCTTTTTACAAAAAAGCAACCATCTTTTACCTTCAAAATAAATATCTTTTTTGAAACGCGTGTAACCATGCTATTTTTTGTTAAGTACATTATCTCAAAAACACTAAAATTGCATTTGAAAATATTATAAATTTAAAAAGTTATGATTTTTTAAGTAAAAAAAGCATATTTTTCCGAACTTAATATGTTTAAGATTTTTTTTAGTGTTAAAATTAAATTTTTCACTGAAACGCCAGTGTTCCATTTTCTTAAAGGAATGAAATTATATACTGTAATTTTTTGAAATCAGTGGAACTAATACTATCGATTGTCAGGTCATTTTAACCCATTGTGTAGCTTTATTGAAATGTAATCGTGAAGGTCACATTTCACATTAATTTATAAGAACTAATAGTCTTTTAATAGCGAACTATAGTAAATCTAGGCTAAGCGTGATATTAAAAATTTAATGTCAATTTTATATATATATATATATATATACATACATACACACACACACATACACAAACACATATACGTACATATGCATGTGTGCGGCCCACATATCCTAATATGTCGAGTTACGGTTACGTGTCATGGACGTAAAACCACGACACGGAGAGGCAAGTTTCTCTACTTCCATTCAATCACACGTAATTGAAGCGGCGAGGTCTTTTGTCGAGGTCCGTGTACTCGTCAAAAACGTTTGACCCGTTTCCTCGCCCCAACGTACTTAAGGGTATTTGCGCGCCCCGAAGAAATTCATATCGCGTGACTCCGAAGTCTGATTTTTTTCTTTCTCCGAACGGAATGGAGATCGACCGGTTTTACGCGCGATATGTAGACACGCGTAAAAGCCTGGTCGCCTCTGTGCGTATCGAGAGGAAACGTTGCGATAAAGTCAAGGATGGACCAATACGTATTCGACAACTCGTCCGTCCGGATTGTTTCGTTATGTTAATTAGACCATGTCTATATTGTAACAGATGCGTGATGGTTCTGATGATGATGTCTAATTTAAACGTAGGTATTTGATGAACGTAGGTTTCATTTAAAACAGTTGGAAAGTATTGTAGTATAGAACGATTACGACCTCTTTAATAACGATCCATTAGAATTTATTTAGTTTCTTCTATCGGCTAATGGAATATATATCTTTTATATTTGCTTTAGAAAATATTACTGTAATAGCATCGGTTAAATCAATTACTGACTAAAACGTAATTACTGATTACTGACTTAGATATAAAAATTGAAATGTTTACTGTTGCTAAAAATTGTATATGACTTGGGAAATAAGTAAGTTGCGTTTTTTAGACTTACTTAAATAAACTGTTTTTTTTTGTGTGTTAAAAATCTTCGTGTATGAAGAGAAAAATATCGATTTTCAAAGAAATCAATGTGATCTGACCATCAGGGTGATGAAAAGCACTTTTTTGTAGCTCGTAAAAAAAAAATGGACATCATCAAGTAATTCCATATCGACCAAGGCGACCTTTTCAAAAAGCTATCACAATCTGAGGAGCTTATAAACTATTAATCCAATCGAAAATAATATTTCGTTTATAAGAAGGTCTTATTTACGAAGCATTGTGATTGAAAATACGATGATTAAGAAGAATAGTCAATTTCATTTTAAATATTTCTATTAATTTTTTACTTAATTCTGAATTTCGTTATATTTTTTTAGGTACTTATGACTGGTGATAATTTTTAATTTAAAAAAATAATTATTAAAAAAATTGAATGAGAAACTACTTAGTTTCTCATTCAATTTTATATTGAATTCATAATATTCCGTCAGTATTGTACACATTATGTATATATAAGAAAAAAGTTATCCACACTTTAGATAATTATTAGCAATCAAACGATTTACTACTGGCAAGACAGAAATAGAATTAATCCAAACAATCAACGAATAGCCTGTTCTCCTGTCGAGGAAATTATTAATATCAATGGGTTGATTATAGTTGTCAGTTAAAACGACAGTGTGGTTAGATTCTCAGAAACAAATAAGTCGCATCAAAGCTCTAAAACGGAGGGAAGGAACGGGAACAACAGAGGGAAAGTCTCTAAGATGGGACCAATTACTGCCGGCGGTACAACGTTTAGGGGTTGCCGCGATCGGACGTTCGGTCGATACAAACCGCGTATAGAAATCGATCTTTACGAGCTCGAGACGCGATTGCTAATAAAAGCTCGAGTCAATTTGTCGACTTCATAAAATTGGCACTGTATGAGACATGTATGTAACGGTATGCGGGCCACTTTCCGATGAGCCAAATATCGTGGAAACCGCACGTCGAGATTTCCAGGATTGATATTAATCCCCTTCCTCGAAAGCCATCTTCATCATTGCGATAACAGATTCGCAATGACTCCCTCATGCGATCTACGCAGAGGACTGGCGTCGTAAAAATCTTTCTTTATAATAATAAAAATTATTTCGGTAATATTTTTCGGTTTTGGCATCGCTGGCGATTTGTAAATCAAGAAATCTCTATCCATATCATTTTTTAAATTTCTTTTATTATAGAATAATTCGAAATAAATCTTTCCCACGCACGCAAGACATCTTTTTAAAGAAGAATTACGTCATATTATTACATATTATTATTAAAATTCACGATTAAGTTGTATTAAGTATTACTTCGTTAAAGTAACGAGTCGTTTGATTACGGAGCCGACAACTTTAGTCGATATCTGATGAAGTGAAATAAAGTGCGCGAATAAGAATAAAGAGGTATAATACAGAAACACTTACTTGAAAAGTTCTTTCCGTCGAGGAGGGCGGTGTAAGTGGTGAATGATGAATTTGCCGCGTAATTATAGGGGTCGAGGACGGACTCCTGGAGGACGGTGCTCTCGTTTCCCTGGCCTCCCTCTCACACACCGAACCCGGCGACCAAATTTCACTTTTCCTACTGCCGATACTCGACGAAACGTCGCTCGGCTTCGTGCTGAGGTTCAACGGCGCCTCCTCTTCTGAAACAAAAAAGAAATCATCGGTCTATGTCGTTATTTAAGCGTTTGTCAAATCACTGCTTGTCTCTCATTAAAAAAATTTTAATGTAATATTTATTAAATTGTATTGTAAAAATACGTCATGATAATATCAAATACAATACTTATTTGTTTAACATGTAAAACGAATAAATCTTTTGTGCGTTGCGTTGTGTTGTGCTCATGTAAAATAATACAAAATTTTTCAAATTTATAAATACATATAAAGATTCACACACATATTTAGAAGTAAAAAATCAATATATATTAAGCGTTTTTGTAGAAATATTTCATCATAAATTAAGTCATAAATTAACTTATAATACAGAGAGCACAAAGTAACAAGAAACCTCATACTATCTATACATATATGTTACGATATAGAAAAAAAGTGGTAATTTATGATGGATCATGTAACATCATTATTAAAGGCGAGGAAATTTTATAGTTTTTGCACACCATATATACATATACGCAGAGAGCAATTAATTGATCGTAATTAATATCCGTGCAGCAAAGTCGAGCGATAAATGATGTCTCGTATAACAACGTCGATCGATAGTACCCACTTACAGATAATTGCTCATTAACCGGCCTACTTTTTTAAAAGAACTCATTTTAAATATTCTAACGATAGTCATTCTGGAAAGCTAGCTAAAGATAACTTTACTAGACTTACTCTTGTAAATCGTAATCATTATCGAATGAAAAAAAATTCATTAATTAATTCATTAAAATATTCACGTTTTGTCTCTACATTTATTAAACTTGTATACACATATTAATCCAATTAATATTGAATAAATGATGTTCATAAATGTACAAATATGCCCAATTCAGCCACATTTTTCACAATACATAAAATAGTCAAAGAAATAATGTTATAAACTACATTATGCAAATTATTACTAGGATAATACTTGAAAGTAGTTAAAAAAAATTTTAAATAATTTTTAATTAAATTTTAAAGTAGTTTTCCTCAATGAATTTTGTATGAGCTACATTCTATGTCGCCTCCTGACAGAAGTTTCTTCTCTATATATCTTTCAGTCACAACGCGTTAAATATCTGCAGATTTGTTTAAGAGAGATTCAATCAAATCTCACCGAATTTGGCCTTCTCCGGCGTGCATCTTCGGGGTGATCCGGGACGTGCCGGACTGAGAGGTTCCGAATGGACAGACGAGCAATTCGTGACCGGCGTCGTCTGTTGGGATGGGATTCTCGTAGGCGATAGCCGCCGTACATGAGACCGCAACGCATGTCTGAGACAACAAAGGTAACTGTGCTGAGTTCAAAGCGTGGAATTTGAAAGTGTGATAATTTTTAATCAAAGGAGAATTTACAAAATATTTCTGAAGATTATGCCATCATATTTCAAGAGGGATATACTAAAGTAAATATTTTTATATATAAAAATAATTAATATATACACAAGAGAGAATACAAAGAATATTAATAATATTTTATATATGAAAATACTTTTAAATTACAAATATTTTAAATAAATTTCACGGTTCAATTATAGATTGATAAACAAGTATATAAAGTCAGATATTATTTGTATAATATCAAAAAATTTACTCTAATTCACACCATCCCTCCCCTCCGCGACTTACCTCGCGCTGCAACGCTAGCGCTGAGATTTTGAAGTCTCAGATCGGGATTGTAATTCGAGACGAGGGTGAAGGCGCTGAAACGATCGGGGACGGGTTGACAAAGACCCGAAGATGCATTGGTGGATGCAATGCTCGAACTGCTTCCCGGTACACCTGGGCTCCAAGGCGAGGATGGCAGCGTGGTTATGCTGGGGCTGCCGGGTGGCGAGAGGGTAGCCGGGGGTGACAAGGCGCCCGCCGGAACTCCCACGGGATTGCAATGAAGTTCCGGTTTCATGTGCCAAGTTCGAGGTACCGCTTCTATCACGAGAGAACAAATACTTGGCTTATTATTCGTACCCACGCACGAACGCAAAATGTGCGTGCAATACATTATTTTCAAAATCGCAATAACACCGTATCATTCTATTAGCAACAAACTTTTCTCAAAGTATGTACTTAAAATACAATAAACGTACATCTGTATGTGTACATCTGTAGATAAAACTCTATATTAGATAAATTGATAATTCTTGTCATAATGCATGCGCTAAATTGCAAAATAATGTTTTGAAAAACCATTAAATATAATAGCGTTTAATTTAAGCATAAATGTCATTTAGTGCAATTGAAAAATTTATATAATAACAAAAATAACATCTTATATAAAATTTTTAAATAATTCTAAATAAATTCTATTTCGTTTCGTTCAGTCATAAATAACATCATCATACATCGCTTGATAATTTTTGTAAATCTTCAGTAAATTTCAAGTTTATAAATATTAATTTAAGTTTATAAATATTACTTGAGCTAGAATTACATAGATAAAAACGAAAATATTTAAAATAGAAGACATTAAAGTGAAATAGGCATTTTTAATCCAAAGAATCTTTTATCAGAAGTTATATTTAACACATTATTTTAATTTTTAGATTGTTTTTAAGAAAGATAGGCATTTTAGATAAATGTATGTTATTTTGATATCTTCTAGTAGATGTTTTTAATTATAATATTTATGTTATCTTCCTCTTCCAGATTCTTAATTTTTTTCGTCGATTTTATGTCTTTGTGTGCTTTAATAAGTGATCGAAAGTGATCGTGAATATCGAAATCTCTACGAAATAAAGAAACTATAAAAACTCACGTGAAGTGTGAGTTATACATATTTTGCGTAAAAGCATGCGTAGAGACTGCATTCCACAAACGCGTTCATTACATGCACGAAACATATACGTTAACAGAGAAATGAATAATACATGGAGCCTTGAAGCGGATTCTTTCGTGATGCATAAAATCTGAAATCCTTTCGATCGCATAAACGAAGAATGATTACAGTCTAAAATCACGGCTTGCTGGAACGTGTTGATCGAAAAAAATTACGAAGCAAGAATGTCGCGCTACGCAACATGCGCATCTTCCAAATTTGTTTCGCAAACATATGGTAAAAAATTAATCATAAACGCAAATTATGCCGTATTATTTGTATTATTTGTAACAAAATATTTTATGTGCAGTTATTAAAAATATTTACAAATTATTTTGAACGTTTGCGATATTAGCTTTTTACTCTTATAAAATAAAAATCAAAAATCATATTAAGAATCTTAAATAAGAAATTATCATTCTCTGCAGTTACATATTTTTACATATAACAGATACATGCAATTGAAATATTGTTTGTGTTTGTCGATTAAAAAATTGATTTAAACATTATGGAGTAGTTAAACGCGATAGCAGTTCTTATGAGAATCCAGAAAATTTATAGCAGGAAGTATAACTAATCAGAAACTGAGATATAAAACGTCGAGTTTTTCCAAATTATATGCTACTTTATAACAATCTCATCCGTTCGATAATAAAGAATTGAAATGCCGGCGATTATAAATATCCATATTCATAACAGTCGTCCTGCTAGAAGAGGTATTTAAATTGTTACTAGTTTCCATATCGCCCAGCGGATCTTGCGCATCAATGAATACGGAATATTTATGCTCGCTGCATTTAAACTAAACGCGAGCATGCATTTAATGCATTGTCGACGACGGTCAGCGCCGTATCACGTATATCAGATTCACGACGTAATAAAAAAGAAGAGAGAGAAAAAAGGAGAAAAATTTACGCGCGAAAGAGCGAACGCGCGAGGAAGAAATCACAAACGCGCAGCCGGTTGTCACTCGGTGAAATGAATTATAAATCGTGCGTGCGCGAATCGCAACGAGTATCGGACGGATATATCAAGAGACGAGATCCTAATCGCGCGAGGTCGGACAGATATGATTGCTCGACGCGGCTCTGCACCACGACGAGTCCACGATAAAATGCTCCGATCACGCCGTCCACAAACTTGATGGGACAAGCTCTCAAAACGAGCACCAGCTACTGATCAACTTGTGATAATTAGTAATAATGAATTAAATACATTTGCGCGCAGATTGCGTTCCATCACGCAACATGCCGTGTATTGATTTCTCGAGCCGTTGGAAAATTTTTACAGATCGGTGCGATCAAGGAGGAAATTTTAATTGGCATCGATTATTTTTGCATTGTATTTCCTAAAAAAATCCACGTAACATAATTATATAATTTTTATATGCGCATAGTGATTCGAGATGTGATAATTTTGTGATATATTTAAATTTTAAAGACACGCTGTATGTTCTCTATATTTTTAGATACATATTATATATATATATATACAGGATGCGTCATCAAAATCGGTACAAATTTTAATTTAAATTTATTTTTCGCTATATTGTGCCTCCGCCAGAAGTTGTTGTTGGCGTCCGAGAAAGCCTGATGCTTCTAGTAAACAGTCATATTCTCAAATGGCCGCGATGTTGAAATCAAGTGCGGACTATAATTGAAGAGCTGCGATCGAAGGCCTTCGCGCTGGGCGCTCAGCAACGGAAATAATTCGGTTCTTTAGATACCCGAGATCAACCATTTATGACAAAATTATGGCAAAATATACGGCTTTAGAACAGTCCAACGAAGGTTTCAATATGCCAGTGAGGAAGAGTCACTCGAAAGAACGCATCGCGAGGACCCCCCGCAGTCGTTGAAAGGACTCAAGCGCTGATTTCGGATGACCCAGGCCAATCGTTGCGAAAATTAGCATCGATTGTTGGTGTAAGCGAGCCAATAATGCGTCGAATTGACGAGAAAGACCTTCGATTATCGTACACATTAAAGATACGATATCGTACGAATCGTATACATTAAGATCCTCTCTGAGGCTGCCAGGACAAGCCGAGTTGCTCGCCTCGGCTCCCAACAGTCCAGATTTAAATCCCTACCACTACGTATAAAGCGTAGTTGAAAGGATCACAAACAAATCTCGGCATCCCAATGTGACGTTATTAAGGATCGCTATTGAGGCAGCATTCATTCGGCATGGACAGCGCTATATTACAATGTGCGTGTGAACGCTTCAGACCAAAAATAGAGGCCATCATTCAAGCTAATGGGAGATATATCGAATAATTATGCTCTACAATTATGATCCCTTAAGGTGTGCCATAAAAGGATTTTTTGTAATATTTAATTTTTCGTTAAAAACATTTTGTTTAAAGAAATTGTTCGATTTGTCCGGATTTGATGACGCACCTTATATATATATATATATATAAATTATACAATGTGTGTGTGTGTGTGTGTATACACACACACATTGAATAATTTTATAGTATACGAAATCTTAAAGAACTTTAAAAATGTATTTTAGTTCATATAAATTCATGTAAAATTATGTAAATTATTAGTAAAAAAGATATTTTTTAACGAGCTATAAACAAACGAATAATTAACAAGAACACAATGCGAATGTATATAGTATTGCGTTAGAGGGATTGATTTGTAAGACACACGAATGAGTGGAAGTAGAAATAGCCATTTTGCGTAAAACGACGATGTGTCGGAAAGTTGGTGATAAACCACGAAGTAAATCACTGGCTCGAAGGCCCTACCATATTGATAAGGATCACGTTTGGACATAAAGTACGACTAATGACCACTACTCGTTGTTTGAATAAATCTGTAATGCGCTCTTACGAGGCAGCATTCCTACATAATTCATGCGCGAACGTATCGCTAGCGAGAATTTGTTACTTGTTTCCATAGATAACGGTGCATGATGTAGTTTCCTGTCAATCGTCGGAGGATGTTCATTGCGAATTTGAATTACTGTTCGTCGGTTTTAAATAAGCGAATTGAAAAGGGAAATAAGCTCATAAAAATGCGTCCAACATAGTTGCAAAAAAAAAAGGAAACAAAAGGATGCCGCTGATAAACGTCATGAAAAATTCCTTGGCAAACTTATCAAATAATCATTCATAGAAAGAAAGGGAAGTAGAAGAGAGATGATTCAAATGTATCAATCTTATGTATGTATCTTCGTTTCGAATCTAATAATAAGTTGAAATGAAAATATATGAAATATATTAAAGAGCACAAAAAATGGTTTGAGATAAAATATATATTTAAATATGTTATAGAAATTTTGCTCGTTAAATATGAAGCGGAAAAAGGAAAGCAGCTCGAGAGCCACGATTTTGACATGGAAAATTTTCAATGACTTGTATTGAAATTCGAGGTCTCGATATTAGATAGGCACGTATTTAAACAGGTGAGGCTAATTCAATGATATATTATACTGCACTTCTGCGTTGTTATCATCAATGCATTACGTTGCCCACAAAATAAAAAAACCATGTTCTCTTTGTTGTATGTGTGAGAATAAATCATGAGCGTCACAAACCCGATTTCCTGCTAGCCTTTCAATTTTACACGACGATGAGCAATAAACTATGAATAATATCAAACACAAATGTCGAAAATATTATGTGTTAAAAAAATATAATATGTAAATTAAAATATAATATACATTACATAATAAAATATAATAACATAATATTGAAAATATATTGTATAGTATGTACATTCATATTAGGTGTTGGAATTAATTCGTAGCGTTTTTTAATGAAAGAATGTTATTTATTTCACATGAGCATTAAAAAATACATTAATGAAAGTACTTCCCATCACTTGTAAAACGCTACGAATTAATTCCAACACCTAATACAATACATTAGTGCGCTTTATTATCGATTGGACAGAATAAATAAATAAAAATAGATAACTTCATAAAAAATATGTTTTATCACTTCGAATGTTAGCGTTATTAACATTGAATTTGTAAATATAATAGCGAATATTTTTAATAGCGAATATTGTAGACGTGTTTTTGCAATATTTAATACAACAAGACAAAAAGGATAACAAACTGAGGAGTGTGCGATAATCGGTGCAATACCAAAAATCTTTGATTAATGACGAAGATTAATTAACTCATTGTATGACCACCTGTGGAAATATCACTTTAACAGATTCGAGATACGTTGACTACGTCATTTCTTAATTTTACACTTGAGGCTCGACGCGTTTGATATTCACGAAATAAATTCCGAATCGATAAGTCATTTATCTTCTCACATAGAAATTAATTACAGCGATCACACAGAATTCTTTTAATTATTAATTAATCACTTCTGACTTACAGTATTCTCGCGAATACAAAACGTTTTCAATTGATATAAATCTCGAAATTGGATAAAATTTTTTATTTATGTGACTATATATACTCATATCAATGGAAATTCAATTACGTTTTTGACAAGATTTAACGACAGTCTGTATATTTCGTTCTGTGAAGTTCAAATGACTTAGCAGACGATGAGAAGACATCTATCAATTAACGAATTGATTAATTGATAACAAAGAATTATAGGCCTCTCGTAAACGGCTAACCTTATTTGTTCGTTAATTTCAAAAGTAACTTCCACCGTAACGATTCAAATCTCAAAAAACAATCATGAATATTTACGCAAAGCCTTGATTAAATTGTGTGAACAAGTGTCAGATGTTCTTTCCGCCTGAGCTCTTTAAGACGGATTTTTGGACTAAATTATAACATCGTCACTATATTTTTTAACGGAGATAAAAAGGCATTCAATTTTTAATTTTAAAGACAAATGCAATTTTTTAATATTACAATATTTCAATATTAAACAAGACATTGACATTATGTGATAACACAATGTTTCATATGCAGGTCTTTAACAGATTCAATAAAATTAAAAATAAAAATATTTAAAAATAATTGATTCATTACGAAAAAAATTTATTTATCATTCTAAGAATTAAAGTAACATATTTTCTGAAAATTTCATTATACTGAATGATTTATCTTATTGTACAAAAATAATTATTATAAATATCTAAATTAAACGTTTTCATATATAATAATTTTGCAAAGTTTTATTTAAAAAACTATTTATTATACTTTATACAAAAGCGTAATAATTACATTAATATTTTATTACATTTTTTGTGCAATAAAGAGTAGCATATGCATGTTAGTCATCATTTTATGCAAACGTGCGACGATGTTTTGGAAATTTACACATGTTTCTTACATTTGTATTCGTGATATGTTTAAAATACTAGCTATTCTAATGCCTCGTGCTTCGGTTATCATCGTGCAGCTTATCCGCAGTACTTTTTCGCTTTTGCGATTAGGATAATATACGCGCGTCGCTAAAATCTTTCATTTATATAAGAAGCCGTGCGCTTTATAAATGTTACCTGCTTCATAAACATTACCTACGTTCTTGTAAGCGTAATCGTGTATTAAAATAAAAACACGAGCAGTATAATAAATAAGTTTATTTTAAGATACGCAAACAACTTAACAAATAGTAAGTCAAATGAGATAAATGAAATATTATTCATTTATTTTAAAATAAATACAATTCAAACAGCGCGGAAATAAAAATCTTTTTTTTGTGTTTCCGCGTTAGGAGGACAATTCAAATAAAGGTTCATTAAGACGCAAATTAAATGATAAAATTTCTAGGAAAAAAAAAATATATTTTGCAGACAAATGAGTTTAAAATCGTACGGAATGAATTTAGCTGAAGTTAATACCTGAAATTATAAAATTATGAATAAGTATTGAACAGAAAAACAAATGGAGAGTTCGTGTCACTTGTTGGAACAGTTTACGCAAATAATCTGTATGTTTTTTATCAAAGAATCACATGAAATCTCATCAAGAGTGAAAAAGTGATGTTGTGGAATGAAACTGCAGATGTGACTTGATAATAGAAGTTTGCTCGAAAAGTGTGATGAAACTTTGCCGCCTCTTGAATATTTGAGATAAATCATCTATTTAACATCACATCAAGTACAATATCTACTCAATGAAGCATTCGATAACTTTTTAAATAATTAGCTATAATTTTGTTTATATTCAAATTGAAACAATTCTGAATGGATTTCAAACATAATCTTATTAATGATTGTTATTATCAAGTAAATTATTATTATTAAATATTATTATTATTATTATGACAAGTAAATAACAAGTACTTTTGTGTCATGAAAAAATGCAAATGCATCTGTTTAAAATGCTTTGCATTGTTTAAAATGTTAAATAGTTGCCAAAATAATTGCGGAATATATTCAAGGAATTGACGAGGACAAGAGCAATCTGCATGAAGACTGCTTTGCAAAACCATTTAAAGTATGATGATAAAGATCAATGGATCGGTGAAAAAAAGAACACAAGTGATTAATTTCTGATAAGAGTTGCGATCGACGTCGTGGAAAGTTACAAGAAAGATCAACTCTAAATTAGCTTTAAATCATGTTATCGTATGATGTTAAAAATCAAATTTATATCATTTCGATTGATAAAATCATTGATGATTAATAGTGTATGTGACGTTGACACATTCTCATGCAAAATAAATTTATTGTTATTTATATTCTATCGTGTTTCTATAACTATCAGCTAGATTTAATGTACTGATCTTCGACACACAATGTAACTTTTTTCTATCTGAAAAAATTATGCATACAATTATGCATCAATTTTCGAAAATTATAAAACGCACAAATAAATCAAATTTTGTAACAAGTTTTGCTCAACATACTATATGTAGATAATTTAATGTTTCTTCCTTTTCATGTACATAACAATTAAAAACTTGTAACACAAATTTCTCTTATCAATCCCAGAATGTTGTACGTGATATACATGTAAATCTGATGCGTAGAATGAAATGTAATTCTCGGCAAGTACATGCGATAAAAATGCGTAACAAATGAAAATTATCGCGATCGTCGAAGTTTACCGGAGAGTTAAGTCAGTCGACAAGTATCACGTGTTGACCGTTGTGTTCGAAGATATTAAAAATCCTTTACTCACCACACATCACGTTCAGGTGTTGTGGCGATGTGATAAACGATGCGCTAAAATTGTATGCCGCTCATGGAATCGCGCACTATTTCCGTGATCCTCACGCACTGTGCCTATCAGATCAGTTCGGCGCGAATCACACAGATTTCTTTGGCAAACGTTAAACCACCGGCACACGTCGCCTCCTTCTCGCACAAATACTTTCGCGGAAGCACGCGGTCTTGAGCGCTCGTTAAATGCGAGATTAAAAGTCTCTTGGACGGTCTCGGAACTGGTCCCATTCACCACCGACCGGCCAGTCGAAGTCTCTTTCCGGAAGTCATGTGATTCATCAAGGTCAAGTGATGAAGATGCGAATCACTGCTCGAAGCAATCCCCGTCGATATTTAAAGTCGCTCCTCGAATTTGAGATCTCGAAGAATCATGAATTACAAGATGATTTAAATCCCTCGACAGAATCTTTACGTCAACCGACTTGACTTTCTTCTTATCTTCCTTCTATTTTTCGTCACGACTAACACATTCCTCGGTACGTATCGCCGAGAGAGTAGCCCGAGGTGATAGTAGATTATCAGATGGTAGCCCGATCACAGGGTAGCTGTCAGGGTAGCCCGTGCGAAGAAGAAGAAATTCTCACTCTT